CCATGGGCAACCAGAAGGATCAACAAATCTATCTTAGAAGAAGTACAGCCAGTAGGCTCTTTGGAGGAGGGGATGGAGAGAGTTTATCTGATGTGTCCTGTGCACATTATCAGAAGGGGCCAGTCCCTGGAGGAGGACTTCATGCTTGAAGGAGTGGAGTCAGTGAAGGAGAAGATGATTGTAATGAATTGACAGTGACCAGAACAATGAGTGTCAACAGAGATGGTGAGGCTGGCACAGGATCAGAGAGCTTTGTTCTGTTGTACATGGAGATACTGTGCATTGGAGTTGACTTGGGGGCACATAAAAACAATAGCAAGTGTGGTTAGAGGCCCTCCCAATAAAGAAGACAGACACTCATAATATTCAGGGAATTCCAGAATTCCAGAGGTTTCAGGCCCAGATCAAGGCCAAAGACCAAACATTCTTTAGATGAGGCCAACCTCTTTATGATACACCATGATAATGGTGCTTACTTCATGGAGCTGAAGGAGTCTTGGTTAGTTACTTGGCTGCCAAATGAAAGGTTGCTGCTTTGAATTTACCAGCCACTCCTTGATAGAATTCTGTGGAAGGCTGGACCTATTACAGCCTTTGGTAAGCCCTGTACTCTACTTTATCCTTTTGGATTGCTCTTCATCAGAATTTATCTGATGGAAATGAATTTTTGCATCTTATTTTTGAAATATATTTTTTCAATATTGAGACACAATGCTTAAAATTGTTTTTCAGTTCTTTCTGCTTGAGAAATGCAGAGTGAGTTCTTCCCTTTTTTATTCTCCAGTTCCGGGTCTCTGCACATTCCATTATAATACTTTGCTTTGTCCTCCAGGCCTGCCCTTTGAAATTGTCTGTTCAGCTCTTTCACTTCAACATGTTTTCAACATGTTTTGGCTTCTCAATGCTCCAATACAATCTTTAGAGTCTAGTCTCTTCTTACATCCATTTCTGGTTTTGTAATCACCTTTTGCTTTCTTCGTGGGTGATATCCTTGATATCATCCCACAACTCATCTGCTCTTCTATCACTGGTGTTCATTGTCTCAAACTTATTTTTAAGATGATCGTGAAATTCAGGTGGAATTGATTCAAGATCATATCTTGGTTCCGGTAGACTTATTTTCCTTTTCTTCGGCCTCACTTTGAGCTTGCATTTGACTTATTGGTGATCTAACCCACAGTCTGCCCTGGCCTAGTTTTGTCTGCCAATATTGAGCTTCTTCAACATTTTCTTCCACAAATGTAGTCAGTCTGGTGAAATCCACATGTAGTCATATTTTTTGTCTTTTAGAAAAAGTATTTGCAATGAATAAATCATTGTAAATACAGAATTCAGTCATCCTATTTTCAGCTTCATTTCTATCACCAAGACCTTATTTTCAGACTATTACTATTCCTTCTTCACTGTTTCCTACTTTTGCATTCCAGTCACCAATTACCATTTATGCACCCTGATTATATGTTTGTCAATTTCAGACTGCAAAGTTTAGTAAAAAGTCTCAATTTCTTCCTCTTTGGCTCTAGATGTAGGAACATATATTTGAATAATAGTTGTGTTAATGGGTCTTCCTTATATGCATATGGATATTATTTTCCTATCACTCACAACATTGTACTTTAGGATAGAAAGATGCTATGGGCAATATATTGAATGACCCAGAAAGTATCAAAAGAAGACAGAGGGAATACACAAAATCACAATACCAGAAATAATTTATTGACATTGAATAATTTCAGGAAGTACAATATGAACAGAAGCCAATGGTAATGAAGGAAGAAGCAGACGTTGTACTGAAGGCATTGGCAAAAAATAAGGCCCCAGGAATCGATGTGATACCAATTGACTTGTTTCCATTAACAGATACAGCCTTGGATACACTCACCAGTTTATACCAGGAAATTTGGAGGAGGGCTTTCTGGCCAACAGATTGGAAAAGGTCCATATTTGTTCCCATTCCAAAGAAAGGTGATCAAACAAACTGAATGTGGAAATTATCAAACAATTTCATTTCTATCACATGCAAGCAAAATACTGCTGAAGATCATTCAAAAACAGCTAGAACAGTACATAGTTAGGGAACTTCCAGAGGCACAAGCAGGATTTTGAAGAGGCCGTGGCACCGGGGATATCATTGCTGATGTCCGATGGATCCTGGCTGAAAGTAAGGAATACCAGAAGAATGTCTGTTTGTGCTTTCTTGACTATGCAAAATCGTTTGTCTGTGTGGATCATGCAAGTTGTGGTTGACACTGAAAAGAATGGGAATCCCAAAGCCCCTGAGTGCGCTCATGAGGAACCTATACCTGGATCAGGAAGCTGTTGTGCAAACAGAGCAGGGGAGTACTGCATGGTTTGGGATTAAAATGAGTGTGTTATGGCTGTAGGTTCTTTCCATACCTATTCAATCTGTTTGCTGAGCAAATTATCCAAGAAGCTAGACTCTATGAGGAG